CCTCAATAGTCACAAGATTTCCAAAGAAATAAATTCTGTTAACGGACTCGGGAGCATCCTCAGATCTGATTTTTGTCTCTCAGCCCGCTGATAAGCTCCCTCTTGTGGCAAATGGGAGATTACCTTTAAGACTCAAGAAACACCAACCCAAGTGGAAATGTCTGGCTTGGACCTTACTGATGTGAGTATATTAGGTTTACAGGTCCACTGCAGTTCCAGGAGGCCAGGAGTGAGGGCTGGACCATCCTGTTTGCCCTGCAGTGGTAGACTTTCCCAAAATTGCACCAGCATATTTACACAAAAGGAGCCTTCCCTGCTCAACCCCCCTCTGCCAAGAGTAGAGCACACAGGTGGGTTGATCACCTTAGCACACAAAATCCCCTCTGCCAGTGGGGATCCAAATCCAGACAGGAGAGGTGTGGGACTATCCCCTGACGCAGGTGCTTGTCAGAGTCTGGAATTTAGCCCTACTAGCAAGCCCATAAATTAACCTGTTTCATGGATGCTGGCAGGAGACAGGAGGACCTTGGGACATAGACAAAGGACTGTTGGTCATGGCACATCAAGCAATATGAATGTCATGTTGGCCAGGGTTACCTTGGGCCCCTGAATCCCAGACAGTATCTCTGAAAGACCCAAATGGATACAATATAAGGAGTAAGCTTGTGTAGGTACAGTCAAGGAACACTGAACTTAGGAAATGCATGCTTTTCTCATGAGCTGTGATGAGCCTGATCTTTTTTCAAAGGGCATCTCTTAAGTTGTTCACTGCAAACACTACCCTGAGAAACGGCCAGGTAATGATCACATAGGGCTTGGCATTCTTTTTTTTTTTTTTTTTTTAAAGTTTTTTTTTTTTTTTTTTTTTAATTTATTTCTAGGAGAGAGAGAGAGAGACAGCGTGAACAGGGGAGGGTCAGAGAGAGAGGGAGTCACAGACTGAAACAGGCTCCAGGCTCTGAGCTGGCAGTCAGCACAGAGCCCGACGCGGGGCTTGAACCCACGAACCGTGAGATCATGACCTAAGCGAAAGTCGGACGCTCAACCGACTAAGCCACCCAGGCGCCCCACATAGGGCTTGGCATTCTTGACATGCCCAGTAAGAACATGCAAGAAGCTCAAGCTCAAGGCCCATGGCAGATTGCCCTCCCCAGCAGATACCCCCGCCCCCCCCCCCCCCCCCCCCACCGCGGTGCTGGGTTGACCAGTTGTTCCCATGAGCTCTGCAACTCACAAGATGATTGCTCCTACTGGTAAGGCAGGATTGCATCCCAAAGATACTGACACACTGATCTTTGGTGACTCTGTGTGTGTGTGTTGCAATGAGATTAATATGATTGGTGAGGAGTTTGCAGTTGAATAAGAACATAGAAAGGTAATGACTTAACGTCTCCATTGAAAACAAAGGTTTGTGTGGAAGAGTAAAATAATTATAGTTGATTGCATAGCAGAGACTATTACATAGTCAAAATAATGAAAACAATGAATATAGATCTAACCTAAGTTCCCATATATAATATTTATATTAGGGAGATAGATGATAGGAAGTGGGTATGTGTGGTGGAGGCTGGCAAAGGAAAGAAAGTAAATCATCTCTTCCAGGATATCTAGGATATGTATGTATGTATGTAAATATATATATTTATTTATATATATTTATATATATATTTACATATATATATAAAATGCCTAACACTGAAATATAAAGAAAGCATTTTATTCAGAGTTATGAAGGTAAACATCTCCAAAATAACTAGCTAAAAAGATATGAAAATCGTTGAATGAAAAATAAAGGAAAAATATTTTGGAAATCATTTTGCATTGCATAAACCAGGCATTGAAAAAATACTTATTGTCTTAAGTAAAGAACTTTCACTGGGAAATGGTTGACAGAAAACAGAGGAACTGCAGAAAGACCATGTAATTGGAAGTAACAATGTGGAAATTTCAATTCTAAGTAATCTCTGTACCCAACGTGGGGCTCAAACTTAACAACCCCAAGCCCAAGAGTTGAGCACTCCACAGGCTGAGCCAGCCAGGCAACCCAAGAAATTTATTTTATTTTTTAAAATGTTTTATTTAGGGGGCGCCTGGGTGGCTTAGTCGGTTAAGCGTCCGACTTTCCGACTTTCGCTTAGGTCATGATCTCGCGGTTTGTGGGTTCGAGCCCCGCGTCAGGCTCTGAGCTGACTGCCAGCTCGGAGCCTGGAGCCTGTTTCAGTCTGTGACTCCCTCTCTCTCTGACCCTCCCCTGCTCACGCTATCTCTCTCCTAGAAATTAAAAAAAAAAAAAAAACATTTAAAATTATAAAAAAAAATAAATAAAATAAAAAAATTAAAAAATAAAATGTTTTATTTAGGGGCGCCTGGGTGGCTTAGTCGGTTAAGCGTCCGACTTTCGCTTAGGTCATGATCTCGCGGTTCTTGGGTTCGGGCCCCGCGTCAGGCTCTGCGCTGACTGCCAGCTCAGAGCCTGGAGCCTGTTTCAGTCTGTGACTCCTTCTCTCTCTGACCCTCCCCTGCTCACGCTGCCTCTCTCTCTCTCTCTCTCCTAGAAATAAATAAAAAAAAAATTAAAAAATTAAAAAAAATGTTTATTTTTGAGAGAGAGATAGAGACAGCATGACCAGGGGAGGATCAGAGAGAGAGGGAGTCACAGAATCCGAAGACAGGTTCCAGGCTCTGAGCTGGCTGTCAGCACAGAGCCCGACACGGGGCCCGAACCCACGAACGGTGAGATCATGACCTGAGCTGAAGTCAGACGCTTACCTGACTGAGCCACCCAGGCACCCCCAAGAAATTTATTTTAAACCAAAAATTTGACTCAATCCTCAACTGCTTTTATAGGATAAAATAAAATAAAATAAAATAAAATAAAATAAAATAGGGGCACCTGGGTGGCTTAGTTGGTTAAGCGACCGACTTTCGCTTAGGTCATGATCTCGCGGTTCGTGGGTTCGAGCCCCGCGTCGGGCTCTGTGCTGACTGCCAGCTCAGAGTCTGGAGCCTATTTCAGAGTCTGTGTCTCCCTCTCTCTCTGACCCTCCCCTGCTCACGCTGTCTCTGTCTCTCCTGGAAATAAATAAAAATATTAAAATAAAATAAAATAAAAATATATGGCCAGACTAACTGGCTGTGCATGAGGTGTTAACTTCAGGGTCTCATACCTTCCAGGGAATGTCAGTTGAAAGCTCTAGAGTAAAAAAAAGAAAAAAAGATATCAAATTCAACAAAGGAATCCCAGCTTGAGCTCCCTCAGACCCTGTAGCCCTGGACAGCAGTCAAAAATGGGAATCAGAGAACATCCCAGTGAAGTGGCCAAGGTCTACCTGGAGGCAGAGTATCCCGTCTGCTCAGAGGGATCACCTACTACCTGGACTAAGCAAACATGCTTCTTATGTCCTACTCACCAGCAATGAGCATGAGAAGGACCAAGGAACCTTGAGAAGAGAGGACATAGCAAGTGGAAGACCCCGCAGAATAGAAAAAGGGCTTAATAGTATGGAATGATGTTCCTCAGAATCCTGCTTTAGCCACTACAAGTATTCTCAAAAGCTCGGAGTTCAGGACAAGAATGGGGACAGGGAAAGACATTCCCAGCCAGCCCACTCATGAGACTAAAGGAAGGTGCCTAAGTTCAGATTCTGTCCTTGTTCTGAGCTCCCTAAGGAGAAACTGGCCTAGATGAGCCAGCTCCTTTAGATCTCTTGCTCAGTAGTACTTTCTCTTACAACAAATTGGGTAGGCAATATGCAAAAATACTGTCTTTGATATTTAGTCTTGGAAGAAAACTCAAATAACTCAGAAGGAAATAACTTAGCCAGTGATATTTCAAACCACATGACACTGGACAAATAAAGAAAACCACGTGACAGGAGAAGTTTAGATCAATAAGGAAACCCAAAGTCCACAGGAACAGGCCAGAACTAAGGCAGACTGGAATGTGAGACCCCGCCCCATCAAGGACAGGAGAGATGGCTTGAGGGTGGGCCAGGGAAGGGAACCTCAGAAGACCCCAGGCCTGGCTAGCTGTGGGGGAGAGGGAGAGGGATACAGAGTCATTCAGGCACCCAGAGAAATTTCCTGGTGGAGGGATTCAGATTTCAGAGGAGGTATGAAGGCCAAGACAGCTAGCCAAGAAGAGGTAAGGCCAGTCAGGCATGAGATGGCTGAGCAGAGGGCCACAGGGGCCTGACAAAGGACATGACTGAGAGTGGGGCTGGGCCGTGGGCATCCCTAGGCCCACCAGGGAAGATAAGGGACCCAGAGGACCAAATGTGTGTCCTTCCATGAGCACCTCCCACCGGCCCAACAGAGAACCAACAACAGATCCTCTTGCAGGCAGAACCAAGTTCAAGTGCGTTTTGAAGACCCCCACCCCCACCCCAGGAGGGCCTCACTGCCACAAACTGTCTCCTTCCTGGCAGTTCCTCAGTCCCTTAGTACTCCTTGTCTCTCTGGCAGATTCCTCTGGGGATAGAGAGATAGGGAGGGAGTCAGGGATGTGAACGTCCTCCAGAGAGAACTCTGGTGTGCTGGATATGTAAGAGAGAAAGAGAATCATACCTTAGCTGGGATCTGCCCGGGGCCCAGGCTCTGGCCAGGTACAGAGCTATTCCAGAGGTAGTCTGACAACACCCAAATCCCCTCTCCCGCCACAGTGAGCCTAGGGTGGGTCATGAGAGACTACAAAGGGGACACACATCCCAGGCATTTGCTGCCTGATACCCCCATCCACTGGCATTCTTTCACCTTGGGGATACACAGAGTTTTTGGCCTGCAGATCAGCTGTCTCAGCTCTCAGTTTGCACACCATCTCTGAACTCAACCGAGTGCAGACTCTGCCCAGGGTGGCTTGTGCATCCTTCTCTCTCACTGTTAGGGGAGGAGCCTGTCCTGCACTCTCATTGGCCTGCAGAGTCACCTTTCCTGGGCTGGGCTCAAAGCCCAGCCATTCCCATTAATACACCTGGCTTTATCTCCAAGTAGTCTGCTCTGAGCTCCAAGACCCAGGGCAGTCCAGAACTTTCCAGTCAGGCACAATGAGCACAATGGTGTCTGCCCTGCTGTCCCTGTTGCTCCTTCTGGGTTCTGCAGTCCCTCAGGAGACCCACACTGGTGAGTAAGGAACCAAGGATGGCTCTGGAGAAAAATGGAGGGGAAGTAATAAACAGGACAGATGGGCTGGAGAAGGACCTCTCTTACAGCTGGGATTCCCAAGTAGAATGTGCGAATAGGAGTCCAAGGCTATCAGCTAACTCAGCTCAGAATATTCTAGACACACTGAGGGAGCCTCTGGACCAATGCTAAATGAGGCCATAAAGAATTCAGAATCTATAACTCCTTGGTTTACAAATGAACAAAACTAAGACCAGAGAGTTGAAGTGACCTGGCCAAGGTCATAGAGCCAGGACAGGGCAGGAGCCACACAGGTAGAACTTCTTATTCCTTTCTTTCTTCCAACAGCTGGAGGAATCTGACTCTCAGGGAAAGAGAGAGCAACCCCAAGGGGCAGATATGAAGGCAGGTTAACTGGAAGGTTCTAGAAGGAATCTGCCCCCTCCCCCAACAGTGCCACCGTTAGCCCTGAAGGCAAGTGACTGGAAAAGAAGCCAGCTGGAGCCTTGAAAGAACCAAAGTGAACTCTAGAATAGGAAAATGAGGCTGTTTCTCAGCCAAAAATCTCAAGGCAAAGAAATGTAAGCCAAAGTGTGCATGTTTAAAGTTAGTTACATTTACAAACTATGAGAATATAGGTTTTATTTGAAAATGTTAATCACACCCTACACCAAAATCTGTATTAGCCAGGGTTCTCCAGAGAAACAGAACTTCTGGTAAATTCTTCCTACATATTCTAACTATATGTATTAGACTAGGTTATGCTCTAGTAACAAAGTTGTTAGTGGCTTAACCCAACACATGTTTATTTCTTGCTCATGTAAAGTGAATAGAGATAAGGCAACTTTCCGGTCTTCCCTGGGGTGACTCAGGAATCCAGGCTATCTGCATTTTTTTTTTAATTTTTTAAATTTTTTAGTGTTTTTTATTTATTTCTGAGAGAGAGAGAGAGACAGTGTGAGCAGGGGAGGGTCAGAGAGAGAGGTAGACACAGAATCCAAAACAGGCTCCAGGCTCTGAGCTAGCTGTCAGCACAGAGCCCGATGTGGGGCTTGAACCCACGAATCGTGAGATCATCACCTGAGCTGAAGTTGGACGCTTAACTGACTGAGCCACCCAGGCGCCCCCAGGCCGTCTGCATCTTAAGACTCCTGTTTTATCCTGAGACCTCCACAGTTGTCACCTAAATAAGAGAAAGACAGAAAGAACAAACCGGTTCATAGGGCCTCAGACCAGAAGAAAGACATCACTACTACTCACATCCCCTTTTGACAGAATTCAATCTCATGATCCCAATATACCTACAAAGAGGCTGAGAACTATTATCTTGCTTCATATCAAGACAAGACAATGTAGTGAAACTACAGAATGGCCTCTGAAATACCATCCCTAGAATTGAGAGGGCCCTTTCACTCGAGAGAGTCTCCAGTGGGATAGTGGGGTAAGGCTGCAGGTTGAGGAGGCCAAGGCCCAGTGACCACGTTCCCCTTCCTGATCCTCTGCTGCCCCATGCTGGGCCTGCATGGACCCCGCACTTCAAAGTCTTCTCGTCTTTTTCAGGGTCTTACTATCTGAGCTTCCTCTACACCGGGGTATCCAGGCCCACCGACAGCTTCCCCAGCTTCCAGGCCACTGCGTACCTCAATGACCAGATCTTCTTTCACTATGACAGTGAAAGCAGGAAGGCCGTACCCCTAGACCCATGGAGCCAGATGCAAGGAATAGAGGACTGGGAGAAGGAGAGTGAACTTCAGCAGGCCAGGGAGAGCATCTTCATGGAGACCCTGCAGGACATCATGGACTATTACAAGGACAAAGAAGGTCAGTGGACCAAGGACTGCTGGTATGAAGGGTCTTAGCCCTGCAGATGTGAGTGGAAAGGGGTCAGCAGGATGGAACTAATGCCCATCCCAAGGGAGGAACAGAAAGCAGAGTAGAAATACGTAGATGTTCTGCATCCCCCTACCCCCACCCCACAACACATCTGCTTTCCACCTGCCCCATCATGTCCACATCCTCACTCCCAGGCCTCAGCTCCCACAGAAAGTAATGTCAGAGTCAGCTCTCACCCAGGCATGTGTGACCTCTCAGCTCCACACTCCAATCCATCTGGGGCTGCTGGCTGGCACTTTAGAAGGCATCAGACTCCCCTGCCCAGGGATGTCGGGAGGAGAATGAGCTCACCCTGGGGTCGGTCAGACCTGGGTTCATGTGGCAGCCCAGCCAGTCACTAGCCATTTAACAGTGACCATGTTCTTAATCGCCTGGTCTGAATCTCCAAGAGATTCCCTCAAACTCACCTATGTAAATTCCACAAAAGCTAGAACATCGTCTGTCTTGGTCACCCCTCTAGTCCCATCCCCCAGGATAGCCAGTAACACCTGCTCAAATGAAATGTATTGCATGATTGAGAGAAAGTGCCTAACACTAACCTTGGCCCATACCAGGAGCTAGTGAGGATTGAATTCAAAGCCACACGCTGTTAGAGGTACAGGGAATCCTGAAGGCCCTCCTCTCCATGAGAGCTCATCTGGACTTGTAGTATGAGGATATGAGGAGCCTGGGCAGAGCAGGGCACCAGGACTGGCTCTTGTGTCCAGCCCAGCATGTGGTCCCGGGGGACCCTCCGAGTCAGCCAGTCACAGGCTGGCAAAATGTTCATGCTGAGTCATTGTAGGGTGGGTGTCGAAAGATGGGTTTCTGAGTACAAAAAATGCCTAAGAAGCTACACGGAACCTGAAAATTTCCTAAAGGAGGCCAGCATTTTGTAGAAATCTGAAGGATAAGGAATGGGAGGCCCGGGTAGGGAAAACAGCCTGGTCAGTATGTCAGAAGTAGGACAGGCTGATTGATGCACAGGTGTCTGGGAAGGACACCAACAGACATTTGACTGGCTGGAATAAAAATGTTGACATGAGTAATTATGAGGAAAGTGGGTAAAGAGATGGACACAGGGTAGCAGAAAGATAATGGGAGCGAACATTAATTGAGCACTTGCTATGCACTAGGCACAGGTGTTATCACTTGTAATGCTCACGCTAACCCTCTAAAGTAGTACTGTCACCATCGCTGTCTCCAAGATGAGAAAACAGAGACACAGAGAGGTTAAAGGCCCAAGCTGGTGCACAAGCCAGGTGGGGGTGGAGAGAGAGCTGCCCCTTAAGGTTAGGGAGCTTGAGATGAGAAACTGTGCCCTTGGCACTAATAACGACTTTAGCATAAACACCTCCCTTTATCACCAAAATGAAGAGGTTGTGTCGCCTTCCCTAAGGAGGCCTATTTCCAAGACTTGTGGCTCCCTGGGAAGAGAAGGGGCCTCCGAGGTTTATGATGTAAACATCAAATCCTGGAGAAGAGGGAAGCAGTGATCATATCACGTTTAATCCAGTGGTGACATCAGTTCTGCTTAGAACTGAGAGAGGGAAAAGGGGGGGATTTTGCAATCTGCATAAAACTCCAAATATGAAATTCTATTTCATTTGGAGACAGCACTTCAGTGTGGTTGTATCAAGTTCTTAAGAGCTCCCAATGGGGCACCTGGGTGGCTCAGTCAGTTAAGCATCCGACTTCGGCTCAGGTCATGGTCTCACGGTTCATGAATTAGAACTGTGAGTTGGGCTCTGTGCTGACAGCATGGAGACTGGAGCCTGCTTCGAATTCTGTGTCTTGCTTTCTCTGCCCCTCCCCACTCCAACTCTGTCTCTCAAAAACAGGTAAAACATAGGGGCTCCTGGGGGCGCCTGGGTGGCTTAGTCGGTTAAGCGTCCGACTTTCGCTTGGGTCATGATCTCGAGGTTCGTGGGTTCGAGCCCCGCGTCGGGCTCTGTGCTGACTGCCAGCTCAGAGCCTGGAGCCTGTTTCAGTCTGTGACTCCCTCTCTCTCTGACCCTCCCCTGCTCACGCTCTCTCTCTCTCCTAGAAAAAAAAAAACATTTAAAAAAAAAAAAAAAAAAACATAGGGGCTCCTGGATGACTCAGTTGGTTAAGTATCTGAGTTCAATTTAGGCCATGATCTCATGGTTCATGAATTCAAGCCCCACATCAGGCTTTGCGCTGACAGCTCAGAGCCTGGAGGCTGCTTCAGATTCTCTGTCTCCCTCTCTCTCTGCCCTTCTCCCACTCTCTTTCTCTTTCTCTCAAAAATAAATATTTTTAAAAACTAAATAAATAGGGGAGCCTGGGTGGCTCAGTCGGTTAAGCATCCGATTTCAGCTCAGGTCATGATCTCACAGTTCATGGGTTTGAGCCCCGTGTCAGGCTCTGTGCTGACAGCTCAGAGCCTGAAGCCTGCTTCAGATTCTGTGTCTCCCTCTCTCTTGACCCTCCCCTGCTCACACTGTCTCTCTCTCTCTCTCTCAGAAATAAGTAAAACATGTTTAAAAATTAAATAAATAAATAAAACATTAAAAATTTTTTAATAAAAAAATTATAAAAAGAGCTCCCAGTGCATTCACAGTTCACTAAATGAGATGATGCACAGGGACTAGACACTCTGTGCCTAGCCTGTAGCTCCCTGACACTCCCTGGCTGGGAAGAATGTTTCTCTGCTCAGACAGGCCTAAAACACCAAACCAAAGCAACTTTCCGTCTCTCTGTCTGCTGTATGTCCGGCTTATAACCCATTTGTCAAGATAATGGGACTGTGTGCTTAGATTCCCAAAACCATTCTTCCTGCTGTTTTTGTCAACTGTGTAGGAATAGAAGTTATTAAGACGGAGTTGACGCCAAGCTGACTGACTTCCTGGGGGCCTGGGGAGGGTGCAGGGTCTCACACTTTTCAAGGAAGGTTTGGCTGTGAGCTCCTGAATAACAAAAGCAGTGAAGCATTCTGGAAGTATGCCTACGATGGACAGAACTTCATCGAGTTCAACAAAGAAATCCCAGTCTGGGTCCCCCAGGACCCAGCAGCTCTGATCACCAAGCAGAAGTGGGAGGCAGAAGATGTCTACGTGCAGCGGGCCAAGGCCTATCTGGAAGAGGAGTGCCCAGCAATGCTACGGAGGTACCTGCAATACGGCAAGACCTTCCTGGACCGACAAGGTACCCCCACTTCCTATGCCCTGCTCCCCCTGAGCTGAGCTAAGAAAGACCAAGGTGATCTCAGGCTGAGAGCCCAGGGAATATCTCAGGCAAATCCTGTGGTGGTGTCTCTAGGCTGATGCCTCCTGGTTAGAGGCAGGTGTTTAAAATGCCTGCCTGCAATGTGACTGGTCAGCACAAGCTAAGACTTTGGTTGGGGAGGCGATGAGAACGAGGGTCCTATGGGACAGAGCAAGGAACGGTCTGATGGGCAGAGCCACGGGCAGAACTAAGGCCTAGAGCTGACCCTGCGGAAGGAGAGAGCCCCAAAGCCCACTCAGAAGTTTGGGAAAAAATACAAAAATGTATGGAGGCATTCACTTTCTTGCCATCAGATGTCAGTGCATGGTGGGGGGACAGGGGAGCAAGAGGGTGGCCACTGTCATTCCATGATCCAACACGGAAGCTCATGGGAACCCTTGGCCTTCCCTGATCTTCATAAAGCTTCCCTGGGGAGGCAGACACAAAACTTGGAGTTCTGCTCATCATCAACACTCAGAGAGTGGGAAGCAAGGGACATGAACAGGGAGCCATCTAGGGGAAACCTGCCATCTCCACACTCTGTCCCTCCACAGATCCCCCATCTATGTCCATCACCAACCACAGGACCCCAGGAGAAGATACAATCAAGTGCTGGGCCATTGACTTCTACCCACGAGACATCCATCTGGACTGGAATCAGGGGGGCAATACAGTAGGGACTGAGGTGAGGGGAGATGTTCTCCCCAGTGGAAATGGCAGTTACCTATCCTGGGTGTCATTGGCACTTTCCCCTTGGAGAAATAAGAGCACACTCTTCTGTCACATAATGCACAGCAGCCTGGACCAGCCCCTCATTGGGCTGTAGGACAAGAGGCAGGGAACCAGGGCTGACAGCCACAAGGGGACTCAGGCGTAGCAGCCACCCTTCCCTCGGGACACCAGAAGATGAGCTCCAGAAAATTACCATGAGAATCACCAGTGGGGCCCAGGGAACAGCGTGAGGAGTCAGGGGACGGAAGACTTGAGTGCCAGCCACCAAGCTGACTCACTGCTAAATTGTCTTGCAAAACCCCATTATCTAATCTATAGAATCAAATCAATAGGAATCACCTTGCCTAAAACACAATGTAGAAAGAGATTTATCAATTGCAATGGTGTAAAAATAATGAGTACATGCTCCTAAGCCTTCGATTCATCTGAAATTCTTGGCATCAACTCAAAGCAGCATTTCTGGGCTTCATGACCTGGCGTGTCCACTGTAGCATGGCATGGACCACCTGGTGGATGTCCCATCTGTTGTGAGGTCCGAGAACCTCTTTAATACAAACCCAAGCCTCCTCTGTGCCTCAGTTTCCCCAGACCTCACTTCTCCCTGTGAAACAGTGCCCTCCATTCCAGTGCTTGACCATTCCCACACCATTTCACCTTGGAGCTACACAGCATAGCCCATTTAAGAGGCTTCCTCTCTCCAGGACACACTCCCAGGAATCTGAGGTTCTTGGACTCCCTCCAAATTCTCATGTGTGTGTGTGTGTGTGTGTGTGTGTGTGTGTGTGTGTGTTTAAACCAAGTTACCCACCACCATCCACAGGTTTAAACTCCAAAAGACAGAGGAGAGCTCTCATGCTTGGACTTTTCAATAAGCTCATCTGTATGATGAGAACTTCCTTCCCTTCCTAGCCTCAGCCCTCACACTGAATTTCTCCAAGTGAGATGAACTGAGCTCTCATAACACAAATCATCCCCAGCATTCAGAATTCTAAGCTGACTCTTTTATCTTTCTTTCTTTTTTTATTTTATTTTTTTTGTGGTCAATGTACTATATCTTTTTTTGTTTTGTTTTGTTTTGTTTTTTTAAATAGTTTATTGTAAAGTTGGTTTACATATAACACCCAGTGTTCTTTAATTTTTCTTGAAACTCTAAATTTTTTTTTTTTACAAATAGTTTATTGTCAAATTAGTTTCCACATAACACCCAGTGCTCATCCCCACAAGTGTCCTCCTCCATGCCCATCCCTCCTCCCCCCACATCCATCAGTCCTCAGTTTTTGTCAGCATTCAAGAGTCTCTCATGGTTTGCCTCTCTCCCTTTCCCCCACCATTTCCACCCTTCTTCTCCCCCTTGGTCCTCTGTTAAGTTCCTCCTAATCCTCCTATACGTGCACACATATGATATTTGTCCTTCTCTGCCTGACTTATTTCGCTCAGCATAACACCCTCAAGGTCCATCCATGTTGCTACACATGGCCAGATTTCATTGTTTCTCATTGCCATGTAGTATTCCATGGTATAGATAAACCACATCTTCTTGATCCATTCATCTGTTGATGGACACTTAGGCTCTTTCCATGTTTTAGCTATTGTGGAGAGTGCTGCTATGAACATTGGGGTACATGTGCTCCTATGCATCAGCATTTCTGTATCCCTTGGGTAAATTCCTAGCAGTGCTATTGCTGGGTCATAGGGGAGTTCTATTGTTAGTTTCCTGAGGAACCTCCACACTGTTTTCCAGAGGGGCTGTACCAGTTTACATTCCCACCAACAGTGTAGGAGTGTGCCCGTTTCTCCACATCCTCGCCAGCATCTAGAGTTCTCTGATTTGCTCATTTTAGCCACTCTGACTGGCGTGAGGTGGTACCTCAGTGTGGTTTTGATTTGTATTTCCCTGATGAGGAGGGATGCTGAGCATCGTTTCATGTGTCTGTTGGCCATCTGGATGTCCTCTTTGGAGAAGTGTCTGTTCATATCTTCTGCCCATTTCTTCACTGGGTTGTTTGTTTTTCGGGAGTGAAGTTTGGTGAGTTCCTTATAGATTCTTGATATTAATCCTTTATGTGATATGTCATTTGCAACTATCTTTTCCCATTCCGTTGGTTGCCTATTAATTTTCTGGGTTGTTTGCTGTGCAGAAGCTTTTAATCTTGATGAGGTCCCAACAGTTTATTTTTGCTCTTGATTCCCTTGCTTTTGGGGATGTGTCAAGTAAGAAGTTGCTGTGGTGGAGGTCAAGGAGGTTGTGTCCTGCTTTCTCCTCTAGGGTGTTGATAGTTTCCTGTCTCACGTTCAGGTCCTTTATCCATTTTGAGTTTGAAACTCTAAATTTTAAGGTTATACTTTTTATTTTTGATACTTTGACCCAGTATGGAAATTAGAGCAGAGAAATAGCTTGTTCAATCTATGTGAAATCCATATTCCTCTGGTCTGGGGCGGGGGGGGGGGGGGAAGTCCTGTCTAAACAGTAGAGGGCTGCAGGGGGGAAAATCCCAATAGTCAAGAGGGAAAAATACAGCCATTGATATTTCAAACCACATGACACTGGACAAATAAAGAAAACCACGTGACAGGAGAAGTTTAGATCAATAAGGAAACCCAAAGTCCACAGGAACAGGCCAGGGCTAAGGCAGACTGGAATGTGAGACCCCGCCCCATCCAGGACAGGAGAGATGGCTTGAGGGTGGGCCAGGGAAGGGAACCTCAGAAGACCCCAGGCCTGGCTAGCTGTGGGGGAGAGGGAGAGGGATACGGAGCCACTCAGGCACCCAGAGAAATTTCCTGGTGGAGGGATTCAGATTTCAGAAGAGGTATGAAGGCCAAGACAGCTGGCCAAGAAGAGGTAAAAAGATTATTCCTGACCAGTCAGGCATGAGATGGCTGAGCAGAGGGCCACAGGGGCCTGACAAAGGACGTGACTGAGAGTGGGGCTGGGCCGTGGGCATCCCAAGGCCCACCAGGGAAGATAAGGGACCCAGAGGACCAAATGTGTGTCCTTCCATGAGCACCTCCCACCGGCCCAACAGAGAACCATCAACAGATCCTCTTGCAGGCAGAACCAAGTTCAAGTGCGTTTTGAAGACCCCCACCCCCACCCCAGGAGGGCCTCACTGCCACAAACTGTCTCCTTCCTGGCAGTTCCTCAGTCCCTTAGTACTCCTTGTCTCTCTGGCAGATTCCTCTGGGGATAGTTCACCAGCTAGACTGCAGGGAGGGAGGGCTCTGAATTAGTCAGGAGATGCCAAAAGGATACAAGACTTCACAATAGTCTCTATTAAGGTCCTCTTCAGTTGGTTGCATGCTGCTTTTTCAGCCCAGCTTGCCACTAGACATTGCCATGCCAGCCAAGTAGACCTGATTGTTTGTCAGATATGTTTAGTGTTTTCTCCTATTTCTTTTGTTCATTTATTGGTCCACTCACTCAATAATTCTATACTGAATATCCATTTTCTGCTTGAAACTGTACTAAGCATTGGAGACCACGTTGGTACTGCCCTTCCCTGCATGGAGTTTACCCCAATTCTGTTTATTGAAACAATACCCTCTATCAAGTTTCAACCGATAGCTTACCTCCTCCCATGACCACTACCATGATCACTAATTCCAACACATACTCTTTCCATGCTGAGATATCTCTCAGATAGAAATGTCAAGGAAGATTTCCATAGAGACACTGAGGGAAGCTAATTTCCATTCTATGTAAGCATCCCATACTACACCATCGCTTTGTCTATTTTTTGTCCCTTTCCAAGTGAAAGGAAAGGAATCAAAGATGAGAATAACGGGGTGGATGAGCATTTGGGGCAGAGGACACAGCAAAGGCCAAGTCCCCAGGGCAGGAACAATCATGGTGCTTGAAAGGCAGAATAAAGACCAGTGGATTCCAGCATCATGAACAAGAGGAAAGTCATAAGAGATGATGTTGAAAGGCAGGTAGCAGCCAGATCGTGTAAGGGCTTTGTCAGCCTTGGGAAGGAGTTTTGACTGCAAATGGCACTGCCTGGTAAGTTTAACAAAGATGGTGATATGATTTGATTTAGGTTTTTAAAATATCCCTTCGGGGTGCCTGGGTGGCTCAGTCGGTTGAACATCGAACTTTTGATTTCAGCTCAGGTCATGATTTCGCAATTTATGGCTTGGAGCCCCACGTCTGGCTCCACACTGATGTTGTGGAGCCTGGTTGGAATTCTCCCCCTCCCCCCCCGCCAAATAAGTAAAGAAACTTTAAAAATAAAATATCCCTGGGGCGTCTGGGTGGCTTAGTCGGTTAAGCGTCCGACTTTCGCTTAGGTCATGATCTCGCGGTTCATGGGTTCGAGCCCCGCGTCGGGCTCTGTGCTGACTGCCAGCTCAGAGCCTGGATCCTATTTCAGAGTCTGTGTCTCCCTCTCTCTCTGACCCTCCCCTGCTCACGCTGTCTCTCTCTCTCTCTCCTAGAAATAAATAAAACTATTAAAAATAAATATATAAAATATCCCTTTGGCTGTTATGTGAAGAACAGACCCCGGCGATGCAAGAGCAGAAACAGGGAGACCAGATACAAGTGTGGAGATGGACTTGGATCACAGTAGTAGCAGCTGTCAAGATAGTAAGCAGCCAGAGTCAGGATATATTCCAGGGATCAAGCCTACAGAGACTTGCGGATGGACCCAAAGAGCACTGAGTTTGCTGAGGGGTTAGCTATGAGCTGTGGGGTAGAGTCTGATCTGAGTCACTTCTGGCAGCACGCTTCTCCTTAAACTGTCATGTTTCACACAGGCCTCCTGCCTCAACCCCTTTGATTGCTCACTCCACCTGATCCCTGCTGCTGGAGCATCTGGAAGCTTCCTGCTTCTCATCCCAGGAAGAATTTTCAAGATGATCCACCCCCAATAGTATTGCCTGCACTCTCAGGGTAGCTGCTCCCGAAAACCAGCCTCCAACCCGATCTGTGCTATTCCTTTCTGCGTCTTTCCTCACTCTTACAGCTCATTCCTCATCCGTCTCTCCCTCCAACCCCCTTACAAGGCCCCACCCTGCCTTCGCATTCTGGGTGCAGATCTTCCTCCCAGGCCCTCCTCCCAAACTCTCCAGATGCAGCTTAAGCGTGGCCCATGGCCTTACCCCCACCCCTCGTGGTACAAGGGCAAAGGTGCAGGCTGGCAGCGCGCACCTGGGCCGGGTCTCCTCTTGCCTAAGTGCCTGGAAATGCTTTAGCTCCCTTGGAACCTAGGAAGCCAAGGTGGCTGGATGTATATCCCCGACCCCAGGAGAGCTCCAGGAAGTGGAAATGCTTCCTATCTGGGAGGTGAATAACTGCTATCGATCGTTTCCTAAACTAAGAGCTGGCAGAGAGAAGGAACCCCGGGTGGCTCAAACTGAAAAGACCCGACTGATGCCTCCCCGAAGCCCTGTTGGATCTGCTTCTCCTGC